ATCCAGGAGGAGCACACACCAACTGCTGCAGCTTCCTTAGCCTGACGAAGGGTTTTTGAACCCGAAAGCTTGCTTAATAACTATTCTCCAACCATTTGGGTTGGTCTAATAAAAGATATCAAATTCACCCAAGGAACTTTGTCTGCCTATATCCTTAGACCAACACGGCTACAACCTAAACCCCTGCATAATGTTATGTTACGCATGTGTTGATAAGTCTTAGCAGGATAGTTGCAAGATAACCTGAAAATTCAGTGGTACGAACATCCCCACGCTTGATTTTTAATTTTCAGTTGTAGAATTTGTTGAATTCAAATAATTACCAAGGATGTTCTAGCAGAAGTAAAGCATGCTGTCCTTACTTGCAGAATGAGTCTTTTCTAGTGTCTTTATCCTATCTCGCAGTTCAATCAATGCATCTTTTTGACGCCGAATTACTTCTTCATGTCTGAGGCCTTTACATTTGGCTCCTAGGTCTGCCAAGTCCAAAACTGGCTCCTGAAATGAACCCATCCAAACCACTCTTGATTAGATTACAATTTACTGTGCTTTGCACGAAAGACAAGTAATTCTTGAAGAGCTGTGATGTTATAAGCCTGGTTTAAAGTGTGTGTGTGTGTGTGTGTGTGTGTGTGTGTGTGTGTGTGCATATAATATGCATGCAGGTGCCTGGGCCATGAACATTTTTCAGCCTTCCCTAAAACTCTTATGTTTAATGTCTAGTACTTGCAATTCTGCTTTCGCTGGCTTGAAACTATATCTGGTCATCTTAGACGCACCAAGAGGCCAGTTGGTCTAGAGAAAGTGGCTTTCTCCATGGGTATGGGAGGTCCAGAGGTAAAATAGGAGTGTAGGCTATTTAGTCAGTCCTTCCCACTGCTGGCTAGCAGTACCTACAGCAAGTTTATTGAGCATTAATCTCAAAAGTGTAAATTGAAGATAAATTGTTCAGCCCTTTCAATCCTGTACAAAGTTTAAATAAAGGTGCTGCTCCCCTGAAAGACTTCTCCTTTCTTCTGCCTTCAAGATATTTCATGCAGCACATTGACACGTTTCTCGTTTTCAAAGCACGCCCTTTGAATCCTTCTGAAACCCACATTTGGAAGTGATCCCAAAAAGCATGCAAATAAATTGTTTAAAATATGCAAATGAGTATTTCAGTATTCTAGCACAGCTAGTGCTTTATTACTAATATACATAGATGTAAATCTGCACAAACATATTAATTCAAATGCATGCAGTGATAAACGGAGGGTACTAATTAGAGTAGCTGCAAACTTTCCCACCTCCGTGTGCATCCGATAAACGGTTGGTGATAAATTCTAGTTCATGTCCAGCCACAAATTACTATTTGGCTTACTGGAATCAAATCATTTCAGCTTACCTTGTTCCTCTCATTATCTTTGCAAAAGATTGGTACAATGGAATAAATCTTTTCCTGCTATTACTACCTATTTTAATCCATTCAGATTTTTGAAGCAAGGAACTATATGCAGTGTTTCCAAACAAAATGGGGAAAAATTGCATTTTCCCCCCCCCCCTTTCTTTATGCAACTGTATAGTTGGAAGACAAGCTTTTGGGTGCAAAGAACTCTTCTTCAGGTCCGGGGTGGAAGCACATGTGGCCCAAGCTAAACACCAGATATTCCCTTTTTCTTCCTGTCTAACATTTTTCCCCAACTCCAGCTGGTCCAATAAAAGATAAGTTGGTCCAAACCCACCCCCCTCCCATATTTTCTGGATGACAGTCGGAGGTACAGCACTCTAGTCCTACTACTGCATGAAGGATATTGAAATTCTCCAGCTAGAAGGTAAAATCCACAACATGGAGAAAGAAAGAAGTAACTGGCATTTAGCCTAGGCTATACCTATTTCTTTCCCAGACCCAAGGAAGGGCACTTTGTACCCAAAAGGCTTACTCTCTCTCAAGTACAGAGTGGGTCCAAAAAAGATACTACCAAAAACCCCTTGCTTCTCTCATGTTTCCTGGACTGTCATGCTACAACAAGACTCAAACCCTACTTATCACAGAAAAGAACAGCAAGAGATCTGCAAAAGGAAACAAGAGCTAAAGCATATTATCTTTTTACAAGCTGCTTTTTTCCTACCTAATTGGCAATTATAACAACACTTAGCACTTTCAACACTTCACATTTGCAAAGCGCTGTATAAACATTAGCTAATTACCACCACAATGCCTGTGCAGTAGGTAAGTCAAGACAGTGGTGCTTAGTTTTCCATGGGAGAAATAAAAGAGCTTAAGAACAACATTTTTTTCAGAAAGGCTAGTGACTTTGTGTACCTCAATTTTAGGTGATCAGACTGATGAACTGCAGGCCCAGTTTTTCACAAATGCCAAGCACTGCCAATTCCAACACAGGTCAGCAAAGGCTTTCAGGGCCGTGCATCATTTAAACAAGCTTAGACAAAAAATATGTCAATGGTCACTTTTTTTCAGAATATTGGTTTTAACGATTTACTTAGGGCTGTGCAGCAAATCCGTGCCAGAAGCGGGTACGGTACCCAGGATTTTCTAGCTCTTAGTCCTAGGCTTAGACCAGCAGTGCTCAACTGCCAGCCTGTGAACCTGTGTCATTGAGCTCATCTGAGCTCCAGAAATTTAGCAGCGGGGAAGTGGTGGCAGTGCTAATTGCCATGGCTCTGTGGCCCAAGATGATATGGCCCTGTGTGCTAGATCACATCGGCATGAAATCAGGTCAGCACAGGGCTGGATGCAGATGTGTATGGTCGGGGCAGCACGTGGCTATATGCGGCCAGGCCAGCACACCAGATCTGGCCTGTACATGATCTGGTCCATGGGCCAGCTCTACACCACTCATCCAGTCTGGGGGTCAGGTATTTTGGGGAACCCCTGGCTTAGACCATCAACATTGCTTCTCATCTGACAGTGAAAGTACCACCACAACAAAGACAAATAAATGAATTAACACATTCTCTTTGTCATTTCCCCAGCCGCTATATCAGGAAGTTTAAAGTACTCTTATGGCTTGTCTTTACCAAACTCCTTTCGAAGCGGTTTACTGCTAAACCAACAACTGGGCTGTGCCGCAGACAGATTGCAAACTTTCCCACCTTGTGTGCACCTGATAAGTGGTTGGGGATAAATTCCAGTTTCTCATCAATGCCACATAACTGGCATACAGAGCCATCCATCATATAACCCGCTTCTATAGCTATTATTCGTTTATGATGCAGCAGTACTCAAAGGTCCTAAGCGTGATGATCAAGCATGTATACCTCACTGCCTCGTTCCCTCTAGAGTGCCCCGGCATCCAAGCTGCATTCATAATTTCAAGTATGCGCTAGAAAGCACCAAACCCGGTGGGTTTGCTTCTTGTCTCATGAATTTTTCACTAGTCATTCCATTGACTTCAGCTAATTTTATTATATTTGCACTGGGATGAGGTCAGAAGCAGGACCAGTACCTGACTGCTTAGAGAACAACCCTTTAGGAAAGGCACGTCTCAAATGGAAAATATCATCGGTGAATCCCTTCCCTCTCTTCTTTTCAATCTCCGGGTATCCCGTAACCTAGGCCTTGGGCGTGTTCAGTCTAAATGTTACTGCATCAAGGACATATCGTTCAGCTTTCTTTATATAACAGTTACTTATTTTATTTTTCCCTCTTATCTACTGCATTCAGAAAGTTTGCTCGCAAGTTCTGACTGCTGTGATTTGGACTTGCCTTCTTGGTTTCAGGGACATCATTTACTGTAGCGGTATTGGTCTGCACACTCTTTTGAGGCAATTTCTCAAACTTGACCTCCTTTTTTTTGGTTGCGTTCAGGATTTTCAGGTTCTCTTTGGCACGCCTGTGGCAAGAGCAGAAAATATTGCTAAGGAGGATGACAGATGAAAATGAACAAACAGTTTGCTGAGGACAGCAACAAACTTAGCTACTAAAGAATATAAATGAATAGGCAGGAATAGATAATAAGCTATGATTTAGTTGCAACTCAATTGGCAACAGTCCTTCAAACCCGTATATCGCACTGTTTGAGATTTCCGAAAGGGAAGGACTGGCTTGATAAAATGTTACATTTTTAAATATTGCTTTTGTTCCAAGGGAATTAATTATTTAAATGAAATGCTGATTTGACTTTATTATTTCTTTTTTCGGGAACATTATAGATTTCCTGTCATTTCTGCTGATGCTCTTTTACCTTAATTCTTCAGCTGCTGTTTTCAGGTCCTTATCCTTCTTGTCCACAAGGTTTGACATTGCAAATAGCTTTTGTCTAAGCATGTTCAGCTCACTCTCTTGGCATTTAACAAGGTTTAGATTTCTCTCCAGCTCCATCTTTTGTTTCTCACTGAGCTCTCCTGCACAGAGTTTATAGTGGTTATTGGCTACCTTACTGCCTAATAGTGAAAAGTACCCTCAATTCCTATCAAAATCAATGTTTTGAAATGTTTTCTCTTTCCTAAGTATGTACTTCCAAGGACCCAGGCTTCTGACTCTGCAGAGCACTGGACAAATTTTATCTTTCTGTCTGACTATTTGACTGTATTGCTATTAGACCAATGATTTGCTTGAGTTGGAAAGGTGTAAGGAAGGGTAGCTTGTACTGTTTATTGTGGGCAGCTTAACTGAATTTGCTGCTTGCAGTGTGGGTTCATACACCCATATTTTATAGCTAAAGCAAACCTTAAAGAAGGCAGATTTTCAGGAGGGGAATGGTTGGGTTCATACACCCATATTTTATAGCTAAAGGAAACCTTAAAGAAGGCGGATTTTCAGGAGGGGAATGGCTCAGCGCTTCTATGAATCAGCCTCATTTCTCAGTATCTCAGGTTGGGTATTGCAAAACCAATCAGGCATAATCAGTAACCGCTTCTAAAAATGTTAGCTTCTTTTTACTGAGTCCACAGTATAATTTACCCAGGCAAAGGGAAGATGGGGGGAAAAAAAAAGTTTGCTTCTGCCTAGACCCAAATGAAAATACTGTCAGGAGAAAGTGAAATCCTTTTTTCATTATCTCTGGGATTGTTTCTCCTTCAACTAATATCTAGTTTCCAATTATTTTGGGGGAAGTCATGACAGCTTTGTAAATCGCATGATACATTTGACAAACCTATCATATCCGACATCCTAGCTTTGGCTTCTGAGAGGTCTTTCTTTAATCCCAAAATGATAGCCTGTTTGGACAGGATTTCCTTCCGAGTAGCCGCTAATTCTTCTCTGAAATTCATGAGATGGATAATTGCAAAAACCAATTTCATTTGAAAGATTAATATTACTTAACATGTACATGTCTTATAAGGTAAGGTCATATAATTAATACATACAAATTATTTTTAAAGTATGATTTTAAATCCCACAAATCCAGAGATACAGAGTTGGGATTTACAGTCTCTCAGTTCTTAACTCGGGCCGTTATGCCCAGTTTTGCAGAATGGAAAAGAGATTAAACAAATATAGTATTCTGCATCACAGACTGCTCAGATCAAAGCCAACTGCTACATACTGGACACTTTGCTCCAGCTGGTTTCCCCTCCATGTGCAAGATGAGAACAGCACTTGGGCCATGAGATGTACACTGACCACTCATACTAAAAACAATTAATTTATAGTCTAACATGACAGGCATAACATGCTATATGTTTTTGTGGCTTAATATACTTTCAATCCCCCCTACCAAAAAACCCCCCAAAACAAGATGGTCCAAAAACTGGTTTATCCCTCACATTTCCCATTAAGATGGGCCTCTATGCATACTGGGCATGTCTACACATGCACATTTACTGTGCAGTAATTTAGGTTACTGCACAGTAATTTAGGTTACCACGCAGTAACCAAAATCACTGTGCAGTACAAGCATGTCTACACACGCACACCTGGACTGTGTAGTAACTATGGCGACTTGCAGCAACTTGGGCATCAATTTGATACCCGCATCATGCACATAAAAAATGTTATGCCAGATTAGTTACTGCGCAGTAACACACGTGTAGATGCCTTACTGCACAGTAACACTGTGCGTGTAGACTGACTTGGGACTAACTTTAGTCCTAAATCAGTCCACACAGTGTTACTGTGCTTTAACAGCTGCACGTATAGACGTTGGCCTAAAAGCGGCTTACTGCGCAGTAAATGCACGTGTGGCTGCACCTGCTGATTAGATAATCTGGGCCAGATTCTCATTTGCACTCTGGGGCCTGAAAGTGGAATAAAGTTGCACTGGCATGTTCTCAGTGAGAATGTATAAACAGGCCTTACTGTAAATGAGAATCAAGCCTCCTCTCCTTTTAAAACTCTGTTTGTGATTATGAGGTTCCTTTAAACCTTCTTCCACAATGAACAAAACCAAAGAGTAGTTATCAGTTGCTTACAGAAGAAGACTATGGAATTCTTCACTGTCCGAAATGTCTTGTGAAATGGATGATGAGGATGTGGGAGGATCTTTTTGAAGTGCTGAAAAACAAACAAGACTATTTACAATCAATCAAGTAAAGAGCTTAGTCTCAAAGATTATGGGTACTTTACATCTGTTTGCTTTTGTGGAGGGATCTGAGCTCAATAAAGGGATTTCAAGAGAACATTTAGTAGATTTTCCCATCAACTAGTGAATCATGTTATTTGATTAGCATCCTTCCCAAAGTCTCTCTCTTCCAATCTAGAAATTAATGAGCAAGAAGCCATGACCAAGGAATGCTCTGACTTGGGAACCACAGGATCTTTGTCTTCTAGACCAATAATGATTTTAAAGTTTAAGTGATGGCTCTTTAAAGAACAAAAAGTTATTTAGGCGTCAATTCAGGAAGGATTTCAACGTGTATTTAAATCCATTCCTATTCAGGTTTACAAGCACATGCTTAACTTTAGGTCTATGCTCAGGTCCCACTTTGCTTTCCAGGGTCTTTTGTGAATAGAAGGCCTGCCTGCATTGAGGCCTCACTGTATCTAGAAAAACCATGTAATAGAAGACATTGTAGAACAAAAAGACTTTTCAAAGATGTATTATTCATGCTTGTGGAAAATCACTAACTCACAATATCACTGAGCTACTAAGCTATCCAGACCCAGTTCAACAGAATACAAAAAGCATGCAACATTGTTTTCCTACTATAAAAGAGCACTCTTTTTGTAAGTATGCAGCTAACTTAACATTTAGCTACCTTTAATTTTTTCCTGTAGAGCTAAATTTTGCCCCTCAATATTCTTCTGATGCAGCGTAGCCTCCAGCAGCCTGTCTTCTAGAGCAACTATTGTCTGCGAATGTTGTTTGATTTGTTCTTTATATTCCACTATCTCTTCCTGAAGTTTCTGCTTCAGTATCTCATTCTCATCCCGAATGATTTTTAGATGATTCTCTCGCACCTGTAACTGCTCCTTCAACATGGCCTAGGAAACAGGATGCATTAATTCTGTGAAAATTTGGTATATTTTAGCAAGACAGGATAATGACAAATATCTTTCAGCGTGGGCAATACGAGTAGTCCCCAGGCAAGTAGGTATTGGGGAAAAAATTCAGAGCTCTATTCCTACTGCTTCCTCTCTGCCATGGGGGGAATGAGGGAATATGCTATGCCTCATGCCCTCCTCAGGCCTTGCACCTGATTGACGCTCCCTGCTGAGAGATGTGCGCAGAGGCGGTGGGATGTTTGCTGTAGGATTGGAAACCTTCCTTCTCTAGCTCCTTCACTTCTTGACTCTTTCTCTTGCTCCAGGGACCAAGTCCTGCAGCTTAGATGCTGTTCTTGGCCCATCATCCTGGTCCCCTTCTTCCTCCAGCACTGAACCCATCTTACAGTTTTACATTGGGACTGGCAGAGTTTGAATGGTTATGTTAAGAACCTTGCTTAGGCCACCGGCAACATCTGAAGCTGGGATTTACAGAGCTAAAAAGATAAGGCACTAGCAACAATCCCCGATTCTGGTTACAATCAGGTAGAAGGTGACCCCTCAGTTCAGCGATTCAGGAGGGGACCCTGGGAGAGCTTGAACCAGACTTGCTCTTCATGATGTAATAAAAAAATTGCATTCAGACAAAACTGTCTCTAGTTCAAGCCCTGCTAAACCATCTCCTGCTATGGTGGTTACCTCTCTTTTTCCAGCCTCTTCTAAGCTGTCCACAGTTTCTCTTAGTTTCGAATTTACAATGTCATCTTCTTTTGATTTAAGTTCAATTACCTAAGTCAGAAAATAAGTGATTAGATGAGGATAAAGACCCAGAATACTTCCTTTTATTTCTAGTAGTGCTGAAATCTATTTGAACACTGTATATGAGAAGTAAGGGAGATTTTATGGTACAGCTTATTGGACAAACTGTATAGCTGGGAGAGATGTTGAACACTATATAAGCCAGGGTAGTCAGAGGTTCACTCTAAGGAAAAGTTTCAGATGTGCAGTACTGAGCTCTGAATTAAAGAACTTAATTTTCACTGGAAGTCGTTTACAATGGTTGCAAAAATTAACTTCTGAACTTCCTGCTGTTATCAAATGTTACAATACCAGTGTCAAATGAGTCTGCATTCATCCATTCCTCCAACCGCCATCATATATGGCTTCTAATCATGACATTTTGGAAAGATTAGCAAATGCCTTCTTTTAACACCCTCATGTTACATATGCATATCTGAGAAATAACCCTGGGTGCAACTGGGCACAACAACAATCAAGTCAAGGGAGATGTTCCCTTTTATACCAATGGTGAATCTGCTGCACAGTCATAGACGTAATTCAGTTTGATAGTTGGACATTAGGCCATGTGCAATAAATACAGGCGAAAACTAACCAGTAAATATTTTATCTGATTGTTATCATTAATACTATTATTTCAACTGGAGAAACCCACTATCATGTACTTCTCATTTTCTTGCACAGATTTGAAAAAAGGTCAAAGCTGCCTTGCTGCTACAATGGGTTTAATGAGGTAGTTCTAGCTGGTGCCAATTATTTCAAGTAAAGGACACATATATAGTCCTTAGAAACATCAGCACAGAAAAGACCATTTGGGTAGGCTAGTGATTACGGAGGAACCGTTGACATCGTTGTTACTGCAGAGAAAGAGAGCAACATTGCATTGATCTAACTAAACCCCGTGGCATAGATCTTTGCTTTTCCTGATGGCTGCTGTTCTTGCTTCAGGGATCTTCATCATTTCAGAGTCCTATGGATGGTTGACCCATATCCAAAGTGTTCGTACCAATGTGTACATACAAGCACAGGCTGAACACAAAGCTTGCACATTCATTTTACGGTGACATTTTGCACATGACCAAAACACCATGGCCCATCGACCACCAGTCTGATGGAGTCCATAAGGTACACTGGATATATCAAACGAGGAGTATAAAGTATTCTCCTTTGTCACTGGATTTCTACCAACCTCGGTCAAATGTCTCAACTGACTTTCCAAATCTTGAACCTTCTGCTTTTCTCTCTCCAAAAATTCCTTTAATTTATCCTTCTCTGCAACGACAGCATTTTCTAGAATCTGAGAAATAATATCATATTATCATGCAAGTACCAACAGCCACCCTGTAAGGAATATTACATTGAGGGAGGATAACGCTGAGCTAGAAAAGGGAAAATGAAAGCAGTGAATCACAACTGTGGAGGGAGGATGGGTTTTGAAGGAAGGCTCGCTGAGTGGGCTCTTTTGAAAAGAAAGGGGGGGATACTTCAGAGAGGCACTGCAGCGATGGCAAAAAGAAAAGAGGAAGTGAGCCGGCTGCTGATTAACTGATTAATTTGAAAATCGGAAGTGTAGGAAGGAAGTTTCTACAGGGGACTGATGAGCAATTCACACAAAACTATAATGCATGGCATCGCTGAAATACAGCTACTAGCAACCCATTAAAAACCAGTTGGAGTTTGTAAGTCCCCACAAAGTTATTTTAAACGTTATTACTGCTAAATAAAGTGTTTTTACAATGCATCTTTCATCCTCAAATCTCCAAGTGATTTACAGGTAGCAGTCGAGTCTTGCAGCACTTGGTGAGGTAAATAAATCTACTCCTATACTTTCTCATATACAACATGCACACACCAATTCAGTTGCTGGAAATCGGTGCGTGCAAGATGTGCAAGAAAAACCGTAAGAGCAGGTTCTGCCGCTCATGGGTAAAACTGAAAGTAAAATCAGGACCAGTAGGTAAAAAAGACCGTCTTTTTTCTGGTCCTGATTTTACTTTGAATTTTACCCATGAGTGGCAGAACCTGCTCTTACTGCTAGTCTTGGCTTGGCTGCCTAGCTGCTGCAACTCAGTTACTTGCTACGAGGAAAGATTTTTTTTCTTGTTCATTCTTCAATACACAAGGTGTTCATTGTATCCTAGGATGTGTTATGTGCAAGACAGTACGGTACAGCTTTAATTCTCTTGCTCAGGCTCACATGTAGAATTTGATTCTTTGCTGCGCTAATCTGTCGATCACAGTATCTTTCATATTCTTCTCCTGGTCCCTATCATAGTTTATGTTCCTTTAACATGTGGGCTGTGATTGCAAGTCTCGATCTCCTCCCTTTAACTAGAGCAGCGCAGGGTATGGTAGGCGTAGGTCCAGAGGAGAGCGCTACTGAAGAAAATACACAAGTTCTTCTGACTTCATCATAGCCAACATTTTACCCCTGGGCTTTGCAGGCATTTCGATCTGGATGTGCATTTGCAAGATACAGTTCCTCTTTCCTAAACAGGCAAACATAATAAATGTTTGTACATATTCTTTGTGGGTAAAAGAAACACTGTACAAGGAACAGCTCTATTGTACCTTTTTGTTCTCCTCCTCCTTCTCCAGGACAATAAGCCCGATCTTGTTTTGCAACTCTCTCTCGTATTCCAGTTTTTGTTCATTCAGCTTTTTCTGTAGCAGGGAAGTCTGAGATTCCTGCAACTCGTCTAATTGGGCCTAGAGGGAAATTTTTGTTAAAAAAGATATTGAGGGACTCGTATTTTAAATTAAGCAGGCTGAAAAGAAACCACGTTAGATGTTAGCAACTTATTCCAAAAGGAATGATATTTTCAAGCATTTTTTTTCTTTAATATATAGTGACTTTGAAAAACATTGCCCAATTCTGATTTGGTATTTGAACAATGAGAGCGTGATTCCAGGCAGGCCGTGCTGCCGGCACATCCTCCTGCGCTTCCTATATTCCTCCGCTTTTGTAAGACAAGGCTGTCTGTCTATGTCCTTCGACCAACGCAGCTACAACCAACCACCCTAACGCATGGAAGATACCCGCTCTTGTAAAATACTCAGTGACGGTTTGTAAACCAAATCTATAATAGCTCCTATGATTTTTTTGTCTTTTATTCATACAAATCCACTAAGAGAGTCTCAAGCCTTTTATTTTACCTGAAGTGTTTGAATTCTGCCCACGGTTTGATGATGATTCTCCTGCAGACACTTAATGTATGAAGCCAACCCTTGGAAAGAAAAGATATATTTCAATGACATGATGTGGTTTTTATTACTGGAGGGTTCTGTCACTTCAGCCACTTAGTGGGAAGTGATGATGCATGAGAAAGGTTTAACTAAGGGTGCAGCTTGTTTTCCTTTTACATCAAACAAGGCTGGTCTTCATTTCAATCTCCTCCTTTATAGCTTCTCTCTTCCCTTACCAACTGAAGAGGGGATCAAACAGACCTGCATGGAATAATTATCCCATACCAAAATGTGGGTACCATGTCAAGTGTTGAGTACGGTATACAGCTACAAAAGACACAGGAGAGTGAACATCGTTTCTTGTTTGTGTGCTATTCAATACGGAGGCAATTTACTCCCCGTCATTAGCTACTCTTTTGAAAAAGGAGCATGCTATACCCACAGACGCACACGTACACATCGGTACATGTACATGTACACATACATACATATGCATACCCCCACACACACACACATTACACACATACCAATAATATGCTGCATGGTATAGTTTGAGCCTTCAAAAGCTGGATTGGCTTTCCATTACACACAGCGTTCTCAGGCTCTTTTGGCACTCTAAGCTATGCTAGCAAAAACAGCATAAGAACATGCTCCTGCCATGACTTCCAGTGTTGGCTGCCTTCATCCACCCTCTTATTTCATATTTATATATGTAAATGCATTTTGTAGAGCTCTGTTAGCATTCACGGCACAGGGGAATTTTCCCTCTGCTTTCCAGTGTAATTAATCACCGGAGGTTAAACTACATAATATGACTGACATGACACAATAGACTGTTCTGCACCAAAGCATGAAAAGCTATCTGTTTTTCCATACACAATCGAAGCTAACTTCTTCCCAGTGTATCAGGAATAGCAACTGCTCTGTTTCAAAATAGGGGTTAGAATGGAACAGAAAGACAAGACAATCTGTTTCCCGGCACCGCAGATAAGAGAGCTGGTATTAAAGCAGCTAGCAATGCTAAATTCACTGTCAAGGACCTTGTATTCTATTGCAGAGAGAGAAAAACGCCACAAAATGGATAACTTCAATGGAGCAGGATATCTGATTGCATACAATCCATCATCTATATAACACATTTGAAAAGGCAAATACTGCATATCTCGGTTTTACACATTTCTTTTCCAGCGTTCCAGGTTTGGATGACTTTTATGGCTGGTATAAATAACATTTTGTATTATACAGAGAGCAAAATAAAATACTTTTTTTAAAAAAAAAAAAAAAAGGAAAAATAAGATAAAGAAAGAACTGCTGGAAAATCAAAGTCTATTAGTGCTCCAGAATGAATAATAGCCAGAGCAGAAACTAACTAACCTGATAACACTCAAACACTACCTGAATCCAAGTTGCAAACTTAAAGCTTTATTCCCCCGAAGTTTGGGAGTGCCAAAGGTGAGCTTATGGCTTAATTCATTATACATGTAACAACCAGCTATTACAATTAAATAACTAGACTCTGAACTAAAATGTGGAGATGTTCAGAGCTAGATTCTGGTTTGGAAAGAGGGCCTAAGAAGCTGAAGGTCAAAAAGGGCTCACGATGACCAAGGGACTGTTTTTGGTACAACTAGGACAGCAGCCTGTTGTTGAACAACATCCCCCCCCCATGACTTTTTATACATTTGATGCAAAATAAATCTAGGGTAGTGGTGGGTGAATGAACAAAATGACCAGAACTATTAATATAGTTGAGATAATGTCTTTCATTTGGAAGCTTGTCTAACTCTGTTACACAGTTGGTCCAATAAAAGATACCACCCTAAGAAATCCTTGCCTCCTCCATAGTTTCTGGGCCATCCTGGCTACAACATCACACTTGCACTACCAAAGCTACTAAGGACTTCTTAAACATTTTTTTTTGTAATGTAAAGGACATCAAACAAATATTTATTATGTGATTGATTTTGCCCTATGCTGCAAGTTCCCTTTTTTTCCTCATAATAGTAAAATTGTCCTCTTTGTCCTGACTTTCTCCATATTTTCGCATTATGATCAATCAGCCTTAAGGATGATTTACAAAGCTGCAGGTTCAAAAATATATTGCTGCAATGTTCAAACTACTGTAGGATGATGATCTCAAAGGAGTTCACATGAGTTGGCGCTCATCTCCCATTTCAGTGAAAGATGAGTGCCTAAGTCTCTTGAGTTCTTCTGAATTTCCCAGCTACATAATACAAAACGGTGAGCTTGAAAATTTAGTATCGGAACCATCTGCTTTCCTTATTCTACTTAGCTCTTCTGATCTTCTAACTAGACCTGGTATTGAAACGCACAGGAATTTTGCTGCCTGTTACTCTGCACATGTCCTCTTTTGACCCTATCTCAAGCTATTAGTTGCTATGCTCATTCCTGGTTGTCGCAAATTATGGGCTTTAAGATTCAGAAGTGCTCATAATTTAATGTGCATTTTGAACGTGCGTGCTTAGTTCATGGAAAAGCATTTCACATGAGGCCGATGAAAGGAAAAAAGCACCAATAGCAAAATACAAACCTTTGTCAGAGTGGGATGCATCAATCCCCACATCCTGCAGGAGCAGTTCAATGCCTTCTACCCACGAGAGTAAACTGTTCAGAATTGCAATTACTGGTGTGTGGACCCACAAGACAGAAGTGTCGATGCTCAGCTCTTGAAGTTTACAAATCTCTGATTTCAAGCTATGGCTGCAGTAGGAGGTTTTTAAAAAAGCCTGAAAAAGAACTAATGATAAACCATCCAGACTTTATGGTCATTTGGGTCTTAAAGCAACAGATAAAACACTGAACAGTTTATAGCAAGATACACTAAATTACTGCTCTCAAAATCATGCTCTCTTTTAGGACTACTTTTTGCAACAGCTATCAGGAAAGTGTTTTTATTTATTTATTTATTTTTTTTAGACTATAATGCTATTTTCCTCACTCCGTTGGATACTGAATATGCCCTGTGTCGCAGAGCACCGGGGTGCCCTGCTCTTAGAGGGGCAGAAACTGCCAGAGGAAAAGCTCTGGCAGTGCATAGGGAGCCCTGGCGGTGATTAGGGAGCACAGCTGTGGGTTGCCGGGGCAACTAATGAGTGTCAGCTGGCCGGAAGGGGCAGGGCCTGGCCCTTATAAAGCCCAGGCCTGAGGCCAGGCTGGCAGTTCCCTGCCAGCAGCCAGAGAGGCAGGAGCTCTCTCAGCCGTGACACAAGAAGCAGTGAGACCCGCGAGTACTGCTTGAGCAGAGTTACAGAAGGCAGCTCGGGAGGCTTGAGCCGTGGTGTTAAGTTATAGCCAGGCGGCTTCAATTTCTGTTACAGCCTAGGGGCTTGTGGTTTTGCTTTGGCGTTGTTATTTATTAGACCGGTGGTTTGGGTGAGGCTATAGGGGTTGGAGGAGGCCTCATTGGGGACTCGCAACGGAGGGTGAGGACCCCAGCGCCCGAGTGGGCGCAGCATACTCATAGGGACTCACAGTGGCGTGGGGGCCCCGGCGCCAGTGAGGGCACAGCGTACTCGGGGGGGAACCCACAGCGACGTGTGGACCCCGGCGCCAGTGAGGGCGCAGCTTACGGGGTGCTTAGACCCCAGCCCCAAAGAGGGGGCGTTTGAGAAGCCCCAGTGCGGGTGTAGCGAGCCCTAGAGAGGGGCAACTTTGAGAAGCCCAAGTTGGGCACAACGAGCCCCACGATGGGGCAGCCTTTTTAAGAAGCCCAGTACGGGTGTAACAAGCCCCAGAGCGGGGCAACTATTGAGAAGCCCCAGCGCGGGCGTGACGGCCCCAGGAAGGGGGCAATATCTTAGAAGCCTGAGTGTGGGTACGAGCCCCAGGGAGGGGGCATTATTGAGAAGGCCCCGAGAGAGGGCGACAGCATTGAGAAGCCCAGTGCGGGCGTGACGAGCCCCAGGAAGGGGGCAATACTTTAGAAGCCCAGGTTGGGGCGCGGAAAGCCCCAAGGAAGGGGGCGGCATTTTAGAAGCCCGAGTGTGGGCGCAGAGAGCCCCAGAAAGGGGGGCATTATCGAGAAGCCCCAGTAAGGGCATAGCAGGCCCCAGGAGGGGGCACTATTGAAAAGGCCCAGACAAGGGGCAACAGCGCAGAGAAGGCCCCGAGAGAGGGAGACGGCGCAGCGAAGGCCCGGAGTGGGCAAGGAGAGCCCCAAGAGGGGGCGTCAGTGTACGGAGAGAGACAAACCAATGTCTGTCCCATCTGCGAGGCTTGGGGCGTGGTATTAGGGGTGGTTGGAGCCACGTGTAGCCCATAAGGCTAGGGTGCCCCGAAGCACCCATTTGTGCTGGACAAGACCCACGAGGGGTCCAGGAGTCTACGTGTCCAAGAGGGCATAAGGCAGCCTCCCAACTTAAGATCAAAGACGTGGCGGGCGAGAATAGAGGGTGCCCTTGGGCCGACTTGACACGGAGAGGGGGCCTCAAGGAGATCACGGCCCTCCTGCAGGACCCCGCCGTGACACCCTGTTTTTTCTGCAGTATCCCTATACTGTCATGGTCACATCCATTGCGTTCTGCACTCAACAGGGTTTAGCCCCCTATTTCAGAGGGGGGGGTTTAAAACTCCCTGAGTGGGGACCTGCCTACTGCTCTATGGTACAATGTATTTCTATTTTTGGCACAAATTATCCCTATTAGTTCATAGCAGCCTTAAATATAAACTTCTTCCCAGGAGGACTTTTCTAACTCAAGTAAAACCAAATCGGATCCTGTGTAACAATAGGAAGTAACGTACAGCACCTACTCAGCAAAAGGATTGGGCCAAACGATCATTTTAAAAAATTCTGAAACAGCAAAATTTTTAGTTTTTCCCACCCCAGGCCCCAGAAATGTTACAGGGGTCGAATTAAAAAGAACTTATATTCTTAAGAGTTTTGCATCTAGTACTGGAGGTTAATGGGAGTTTAGTGCCCAAATCCCTTGAGCTGTGAAAATTCCTGCCTACAATTCCTATAAGTCCCTTTTCCTCTGGTTTCAATAAATGACATTTTACTGAGCAGTCTGACTAGCTAACAGCAAAGCTGCTTCTGCTGAAATGGATACTGACTATTACTAGTCTCATAACTTGATGAAGCACTAAAAGAAACCAACGTGGCATATTAAAAGAATAAAACAAAAGTTGCCATTGTTTTATAGAACTGAACAAGACTTTTGTATTCGCATATAAATGACTCGTCAGAAACTAATTTGTCCTTATACATGCCATTGTCATAACTGCAGGCACAGATTTTGTGGAGTGCAATTCTAAAAATCTGGAACAAACTATTTTCAGTTCACTTTGAAGAAACATAAAAGTTGCATTCATGCTTTGATCTTGGATTTTACTTCAGTGCAATGACTACAAATTTAGTTTTGGTGCTCGGGTCCCTGCCATTTGTTTTTAGCAAAGGCCTAAGGACTGAACATGAACGATTTTACACGTAAAATGCAGCTTAATGGCAATTTTCTCCTGCCAAAAAAACAAAAAACAAACCCTGAAATGCTCGCTCTCTTATATGGTTTATAAAAGGGAGGTCTGCACTTGCACTAAAAAAATCAGTTTTGAAAATAACTTTTGTACCAACTCAGGACGAAAAGCCAAATCCTCATCAATTTTAGCATGAGTGAAATTCTGCAATATTTCACTTTGGAAACACTGCAGGAATGTCTCATTGCTTCTGAAATAAAATAATCTCCTTTGACCGCCCCCGGGAACCTTAAAGCCTTAGGAATCCAACTTCCGTGGCAGCACAGCAAGTGATCTGGGGAGCTGGAAGCCCTGGGAGGTAGGAGATCTTGGACTCTCAGGGTCTCTTGCAGGCCAGTCAGGATCTTGGAAGCCTTCAAAGTCATAGCTCCACAGCAGCCCACCAAGGGGGAGTCCTGATCCCTAGGCTTCCTGCAAGACAAGCTACCAAGGAGAGATCCAGGCTGACAGAATATTTCATTTTCAATAAAATCATTTTTTGCTGAAGATAAATTTCCAAACAATTCTAGCAGCGAAGCATTGCCATTTGTAGAGTGGCAGTTTATCGCCTCCATGTGATATGCCAGCGGATCTCTGCTCTGATTAAACCTCTAAATTAAATCTGTCTTCAGGACAATAAAGTGCAATATATCAGCTAACATCCAGTTTACAAAAGAGACTTAAACAAGTGACCTGGATTTCTTCCAAAGATTTCTTTAACACCTCAGCGCTTGCGTGTTGAGCGTCCTTGGAGCGTATTTCCTCGTCTAATACTTTCTCCTTTACATGAACCTCCTCAAAAATCTGCTTTATCTTCTCGAGTAACTGTCAAAAGCATATGAAGGGAGATACAGAAATAAGTATGTTAACAAAAAAGACATGCCCATTTTTTCATTTGAAAGTCTTAATATATAACAGCTTAGATTTTTTACAAATTTCCCAAGTCAGCAAAAAAAAAATGGCTGTAGTATCTATGGTAGCTTGGTGCTTCGCCAAATTATTTAATTATTGTGACTAGGCATAAAGAGCATCCCACCCCCAACGGGCCAATTTTCAAAAAAACAAAAGCTTCTCAAAGTATGTTGGTGCTATCTAAAATTTGGAGGCAAGAAAGAATCATATTTCCTCTTAAATCTTACCTTCCTCTTAATGTTACCTTCTGTTGCTTGCAGCTAAAAAGGTCAGATTATCCTCAACCTATTGATTACTGCTGTTATAAAAATGTCTGATCAACCAATTTACCCATACAGTCCTCACCATTTCTATTCCTCCTCCTCCCTGTTCCAAAATCACCCTATCATATGTTTAAAGACATCTTAGCTCTACGCTCGTGAGCTTCCTTCGAACCAGGTTCATTTTGTTACCTGGTAGGAGTTGTTTGCTGCGCACGGTCTGCACGGAGACAAGTCTCTGCAGCCCGGACAGGGGCAGAGTCGTTACAGATTCACTTGAATTTTCAAATGACCAAACGAATCTGTGTAATTAAGAACGTGGCCCAGCAACAAAAGCTGTGTAAACAAACCAAAATGTTCTTCCCTTAAGTGTGAGAGAGGTCAATGAATTGATATTAATTTTCATCCCAATTAACCTGTTGATCTGTCACCGTCTTCTCTGCAATGTCTTCTGCCGAGTACACGGTTCCAATCATTTGGCTTCTGAAAGACTTCAGCTGAAACAGAAATTAATAAAGCAAAGACAATCACTGGCAGAGAGAATTTCTGTTGCATCTATTTGCCTTGTCTTCACTAGCCCGGAAAAAATCAATTAAGAGGGGACATCAGCTTAATTATTTTGTTTTATTAAAACCCTCTATAATTACAGTGGGCAGCAGCACTGAAAAAGAACAGTAATTATCAATTAATTTGGAGATCTTAGGCCTACGATCGTTGACCTTGAAGCCCCTTGTGTGTTTTTGCTATTGCATCAGGATGCAAAATAAGCTCACAATCAATTTGCTACCGGAACAGTCCACAACAAGAACTACTGTTAAACTGCTGGTTTACACCATGCTGATAGCATAGCAGTATAATTAATAATATCAGGCATGTTGTCTATTCAGGGAAAGGGTATAATCTGCACTGAGGCTCTCGGGAGACTGTCAAATCCATGTCAGCCACGTAACAGTGATTCCCCAGAAGCTCGTGCCATCTTTCTAAGTACAGTGTGTTAAACAGAATGGGATGAAGGAGTGTACAGACAATCTCAAGCAACACCACTGCAAAAAGAAGAACCCCACAGTAATATCCTAAATAAAGAGAGCTAACCTACAAAAGAGACGAAAGTGTTTAATTACACGGCAGCAAACGAGAAGCAAAAGGAATTATTAAGGGACTTGGACAATTGTGATCCAGATCTGCTCCCACTGAGATCAGTGAGGGTTTTGACATTAATTTTACAGTAAGCAGTTTTGGGACAGCAATGACGGAGGTGGTAAAGGTCAAGTGCTAGAATGGGATTGAAGGAGAGTCTTGCTCACCCTCCAGCACCAAACTGAAAAGAAGATCCAGCTGATTTCCCTGAGTTACTTCTCAAGATACCCCTGGAGTACTTGCAGTCAGGAATGACAACCCTGAAGGTGGTACAGATGTTCCTGAAGAACAAAGGTACCAGATTGCACCAAGCATCAGGTATTTTCAATTATTTCCCAGTTCTTTTACAAGGTCTTTGCTTAGGTCGCATTTTAAATGCCACAAGCTGGACATATTGCTAGACAGTTGCTGGTGTAGCTACTCCGGGTGTGATTCTCAAATACCTCCTACCTTTAGTGAAGCAGTTAAACCAACCCAAGCTTTTGAAAATGCTACCCCCACTGTGTATTTTCAGCAACAAATTGCAAACATTTCCAGCTAACTCAGCTCAATGTAACCTTAGCTAACTGATAGTGGTGTCTCTTGGGGCTTATGTCCCTGAGACAAAAGTTTTATCTTTTGTGGAAGCTCTTGTTAAAACACTGGCAGGATTTCACTGAGAAGTAGCTACTGCCAACGGCTTGCAATTAACCCTTTGCAAATGAAGTGGATTATTAACACAGCTCTATTTCAAATTAACCCAAGTGCAGTTTCTCAGCCCAGTGTCAGCTAGATTTACATTGGTAAGAATATTGCTAGCTGAACTGTGCTACAGGTTAATGAAGAAGATGGGCACGAGACAATTGCTTTGAGTATAGTTTTTGGACAGGTATAATAACACTTGTGAGACGCAAAACATCTGCATCCATGTGGAACAGAGGGAAACTGCCAAAACCCACCAGCAACAACTATATTTAAAGAGGGTCATAAATAATATAGTCCTGTAAGGACAGGGCCTTAAACCTGGAAATTAAATGCTGAAAGGATTTGCAATTGCACTAAAACAGATGCTTATGAAATTAAAAGTACTTTGCAAAAGGGCTTGTTCTTCACCGAGTAGATTCAGTCAGTAACTGTGGGACAGGGATATAGGGTGCTGGGCAGGATAATAGAAAATTGAAACACAGGTTTGTGCATCATATAAACTTTAGCCATCTATAAAAGAAACATAGGAATGGACTCTTATAGCCACAATGCCCAGAAACTGGAATTAAAATGAATGCGTCGGCCACAACGCTCTCTGCTCGGTTTTACACATTTCTTTTCCAGCGTTCCGGGTTTGGCTGACTTTCATGCCTGGTACAAATAACATTTTTCTATATAAATGCTACTGCCAACTACACCGTCGACTGCAGAGTGAGCATATTTCTTTTCTGTAACCTCTACCTGAGCTTTCGCTTGCTCCAAATCACCTTTAACTAGGCGCTCTCTGCGACCCATCTCTTTTAATTGGAGAGATTTCCTTTCACACTCTTCCTTCAGCTCCTCTTCAGCCTAAAACAACGAAATCATTTGAATATCAAAGTAACATCACAGAACAGTGCTCTCAGCAGTTCTGTCACAATTATGTACAGAAGCCTTTTTAAAATAGCATAACCCATGCAATACCATGTTGGACTATGCAATGTTACCTCCTTTTTAAAATATGCATCAAAGTAACATCACAGAACAGTGCTCTCAGCAGTTCTGTCACAATTATGTACAGAAGCCTTTTTAAAATAGCATAACCCATAGATAGCTTTGCAATACCATGTTGGGCTATGCAATGTTACCTCCTTTTTTAAATAGGCAGGCCTTGGACATATCAGCTATTTTTCTTCCTAGCTGTAAGTAACTGGTAGCTAATCAGCATCATACTTCTAGCCACATTCCCTACATTATCTAAGTCTCTGGCTCAAGAGTTATTTGGGTCTCTTTTGCACAAGATAAAATGCTACCAAATAAGCCTTATTCTGAAGTCAGTCTATAAACACAAGATCCCTGTAGGCTCTTTCACTTACTAGTAATTTAGACAACTCCTCCAATTTTCACCAGTATCAATATGCCTTACAGAAATTAAAAGAACATGTCTAATTTTCCATGCACGTGCAACAGTGCAGCCAAGATGTGTGTGTCAGTACATGGCTGCCCTCTACTGAATGTAACCCAGCCTGTTCAACTACCAGTTGGTCGGTGATTATATAGCTGTTGGCCAGCAAATAGCATTAGTTCTCTATTACTATAGTCAAATAAGAGAGAGTCTCCTTTAGTTTGAATTAGTATTTCTCAACCAAGACACTACAGCTCCTTAGGATACCACGAGATTCTCTTCAGGGGGTCATGGTGCGCCACACCATATGAATGCTGTTAGGTGTGCAAGCACCTACCCATGATTCGCAAGAGAAACACAGAGATTTTAAATAGGAATCCATATTGTGAAGAATATTTCTGAATTGTTGTAGTCTTCCTGAGTTCTTTGCAACGGCAGCGTTGCTCTATTGTTTTTCCCTAGGCAGCAAATGAGTGAAAATTAAGAGCTGCAAAACTCTAGACCTCTTGGTTTTATCAGACTGACTAAGAAATTGCAAAGAAAGATAATTTTTTTGCAATCTTTTGGCCATACGCACGCTTCTTCAGGCTGAGGACAGATCTTTAGTCTACGCACAGCCCAAGATGATAAAAATCCTCATAGGTAGAAAATAAGCTGCGTTTTGCACAAGGGGATTTTGAGGCTGGAAGTCTGTTCCCGTAGGTCTGTGAGAGTCTTTTGTGCAAGCTGCTCCTTGATGTACAGATAAGGCTTTCAGACCCAAGGGAATGGACTTCCAGCCTCAAAATTCACCTGTGCAAAATGAAGTTTATTTTCTACCTACGAGGAGTTTTACCACCTTGGATTTGTCCTCAGCCTGAAAAAAGGTGCACGTGCTTGAAAGCTTGCAAAGAAGGATATTTTATTTTTTTTCGTGATTTCTTAGTTGGTCTAATAAAAGGTATCATCTCTGAACCAACAGTTCTAGAGGTTTTTTGCATTTCTTTTTGTCTCAGACCGACATGGCTACCAAATACATCCCTAAAACTAAGAGCCAGCATTTTCCAAAGGGTGCTCCCCAAGTCTAATGAGGAGCGTCTTGAGTCTAAAAGGTTGAGAAGCACTGCTTTAGATGATAGCAGTTTATTTTACTGGTACTACAGGCCATGTATTTGGTCTCACTGGCACCTGGTTAGCCAGAGAGTCTCAGAATGCTAATCTTTTCAGGACTGTACGTTAGAGGACGGCAAGTGGAAGGAAGAGTTACCTTTGCTTTTTCTGCAAGCCTATTTTTTAAGACTTCCTCTTCAGTGCAGCGCTTCTGTATTTCTCCCTGAAGCCCCTTCGCTTGAAACTCAAGCTCTCCAATGCGCTGCAGAAGCCCCGATAAAATACAATTAGCTATACAAAATAAGTCAGCCAGTTTAGATCGACTGCATTTCAATGATAACTTCATTACATTAGCTTCAAGGTTCTCTTTGTTTTAACTAAATGAGTTAAAACAGTTATTACCAATCCTAAACCATTCACTACTAAAAAAAAAAAAAAATCATTTCCCCTATGTATCAGCTTAAAGATACTGGATTTATGGAGCTGGGTAGAAATAATCATGAGTTGGTTTGGGAAGCTAATTGGTAACGCTGCACTTAAGAACAAGGCAGGTAGGTTGGTTCCTTGTTTCATTTTCCACTAGATGAAGTTTACAACCTTTACGGTGATTTCCACTTACAGTTTAAATCCTATTTCAAACTAAATGCCATTGCACTTAGTGGCCATTAAAATATTTCCTGGAGTCAACATTTCTTCAGATCTGCTACACAGTTAGGTCCCTTTCTATTACAAGAACTGGATTAAGAATCATTGTTTTAAAAATGTCTAGTTTAGCACTCTCTGGGGACATCTGGTTTCCACTGCTTGCTTTCCTGGGACTAAAACAATCCAAGCAACTAAAAACTAAGAAAACTAACTCACATTTTGGTACGTAATAACTTCCCTCTCTCCGAATTCACGCTTCATTTCCTCTTTAATCCTAGAACACTAGAATGAATAGCAACCAAGGAGAAAATGATCAAGCAAGCAAGATACTAACAGTTGTATATTTTGCTGAGCACATACCACAAGAGCATGGTACTACCATAAGATCCCCTTCCCACAGGAGGCAGAGTGCCCTCAATTCACAATAAAAGCAATGACAGTAGCACTGTGAAGGACTGGGCCTTTATAACTCCATATCAGGGCTTAAAAAAGAAAAGCAAAACAGATAATTAGCAGAAAACCAAGCTGCACAAGACAGATCCCCTGTGTCTAAGCAAACGGGGTGGGTAAAGAAAATACAGATATAAGGAAGAAAGGGCTAGAAGAATTCTTTCAAAATAACCCGAGCCTGCATTCAACAGATATTGTAAAACAATTATATTGCATAATATGTCTATGCTCTGGGAGAAGCTGTCTAGAGAAATCACTTGTATCCATAAAGGTGGAGGTAGTTGAGAGCCAAATTCTGATTGCCGTGTGTGTGTGTGTGTGTGTGTGTGTGTGTGTGTGTGTGTGTGTGTGTGTGTGTGTGTGTGTGTGTGTGTGTGTGTGTGTGTGTGTAGGCACACTCCGGAAAGCCCAGAGGCATAGTATAAAAGCACTCGGCGAAGAGGTTTTATGCCCTGATTCTTCCTAAACTCCTGAAGCGGCTTCTTGATGAGCTCTGCACAGGAGGGATGTGCTGGAATGCAAATATAGGCAAGGACCAGACGTTTTCTGCATGTAAGCATTTGCCTCTTGACCTGATAAAGGAAATGGTCTGCTCTGTCCCTCTCCCCACTACTAAGACGCAGCTAGGTGAGAAGGAGAGGGCTGAAGTGTCGCAGGCCTTCCAGTGCATCCATTCTGCAATCTTTCTTTTTCCAGAGTCCCTAGGGCTTTCCCCAGTCGCCACTCTCTCAGAAGTAATCTCACTGGCATCAAGGGACTGGCTTCTTGCATGGGTAAGGGCTGCAAGCCCAGGCCTCCGATACCACTAGCTAGTGTTGGATATGTGCAGGTGACTCTGTGCAAGGTGAAAGATCCTTGCAGGTCTTCTACAGCGCTACCACGGATCTAGCTGGAGTACAGATTGCGGAGAGCGGGTGCTGAGAAATACCGAGCGTCTCCTGCAAACTGTGAAGTTCCATCAACTCCCACAGACTTCACAATGTACAGAAGCGCAGCAGATTTTCGGCGAGGGAACTGCATCCACACTGAGTCACACGGAGAACTCAGAGACCTGCTATTTTAAGAACGTAGCTGTTTTTTTCACTAAACCCCGCAGTTACAGGTCTCTCAAACCATCCACCTTAAAAATCGAAGACGCTGATCCAAAACCCAAAGGAAAAGGAGAGCAAATATATGAATTTAGTTAAAGGCAAATAGGTTTGGTTACTTATTACCTAGTGGTAATTCATGGTTACAGCTGCCTGCTCTTTAGGAATTCTCCCACCGTGCCCTGTGAAACTCTGGAAATCCCAGCCTTTCAAACCCTTAACAGGACACTGTGGCTCATGTACCATTCGTTGAGCACTCTCCTCTTGAACACAGTCTTGCATAATTGCACCTGCACTGTGCTCCGGTAAAGCCTGGGAGGTGTTAAGGGAGAATGATCTGCAATGAAGGATATGCGAGTGCGTGAGCAAGAAAGCTGTGAACATTTCTTGGATCCAGTACGTGTTGCTGGGTTTTTTTCTATTCAGGTCTTCTTCACAGTCCCCCCCCGCCCCCCTTTCTGTTTGAACTACAAAACAGTTAAAATATTCAGGAACACTCCTTGGCCAAAAGCAATTAATAGTTCTTCACTTTGAGACTGTTCTACAGATGACATGGTTTTGCAAGAGATGCGAGTAGAGTGAAAGGTAACAGCTTTGCTGACATAAAAGAGGGAATGTTTCGGCAGTTTTCTTGAAGAACATATTAAGATGATCGTGGATGATAATTGGATTCGGCTGTGGGACACAGCAGTTTGATTGTATTTCAGCAGTTTATGCCTACATGTTTGGAAATAATTTAATGTGAGCACTCTCATTATGGATGATGATGCATATAAAATCAATTCCTGAGGAGCACCCGGGCCCAGGAAGGGAAAAACCTTGGATGGAAACCGGCAGCTCTGTAAGAGCAGAAGCCATAGAAAGACTATGCAGCATGCCAACTCTACAAATCGACCTATGTATCTGGCCCTCACCATCACATTTCCACTGACTTCCAGTTGACATGGATCAGGCTCTGCATCTCAGAGGGAAAAAAGAAAATCACTAAGGGAAAGCTGTTTGAAACTCTGGTTTTCCAAAGCTCAAAAGCAGGGCCCAGGAGTTGAATAGATGTCAAATGCAGGCCTCCGAGAGAAGAAGAATGGTTCCTACTGGGAGAATATCTGCAATTGCCCTCTCAGGAGATGGCAGGTACCAGGTGATGACGGTGAAGCAGCAATAGCAGCTTTGCGAGACCACGCTGCAACAGCAGCCACATGACTTCTCCCAGTGGCATCCAGGAGGACAAAAGAAAAAGTGGGGGCTCTGGCGTGCCAAAGCCCATGCTCCAAGAATTGGCCCGTGTCCCCCCACCAGATAATCACATCGACTTCAGACAAAGAAATGGATCTGGCTTTCACTCCCCCCTAGGCAGGAACACAAACGTGCTCACATGTACGCAGTCAGTTCTGCTCCCTTTCCTTCCCTTTGATTTCTGGCTAAAGTGCCTGGCCTGGCTGGAGAAATGCCATACTTCATGGGCGGCTGGAGTGAGCTCAAAGCTTTCATGTCCAGCTCCACCCACGCAGAAAGCCTGCTGGTGAGCAGTTGGTTTGCTCTTTGGCAAATACGCATGGCACTGGGCAGCCCTGTGGCCCTTCCCTAGGATGCTCGAGAGAGGTGGCTATCTGTCTCAGTCTGATGTTAAGCAGACAGCAAGGCAGGGTCGGTCGGGGGGACCTCAGAGACAAACTGGCTCAGAGAGGCATAAGCTTTTGTAGGCAATGTCCTATTTTGCCAGGATGCTAGAAACAGTGATAGCAGCCACAGCTCCTGGAGGGCCCCCCAAATACTCAAGTTGGCACCACTGACTCTACAAATGAGCACGGCTACAAACAAGCAGCAAAGCAGGAGGCAGGGAGAGGAAAAAAAATATAGGTGCCAGCTAAATAAAAGTGTAAACCCAGCCTAGAGCCACAAATTGGCCCAATCTAAATACTGAGTGTGTTTGCTAATCAGGAGAAGAAAGGGAGGAAGCTATCATGGTGCTATTAATATACCCTGTTGAACACACCCAAATACCAGCTGCAGAATCATTTCAATCTGGCATTGCACAGTTTGTGCAGAGGGAGTCTTAGCACCGGTGAAGTAAACAGCTGGGTGTCAAATAAGTAGAATTCACCAAATTCGAAAGCTCAGGCAACACAGCCTAACCGAGACACTCTGAACGAACCACTCGCTCCTTCATGAAAGGTGGTAGTTATAGGTGTAACAGGTCATTAGCAGGGCTTTCTGGCCCAAGTTAATACATTAGGATTTGGCTCGTTTTTGTTAGATATGCAGTTTTTTAAATGATCCTGGAGCAGCTTCCTGGAGTGCTTCACTGTAGCATTCATTAGCATAGTCCTCTGCTGGTGCAGACAAGTCTATAAAGTCCTATAGCTTGGCATTTTTACCAGGCTTGCAATAATGGAGCGTACATTTAGCAGGAAACTCAGTGCTATTCAGTGGAATTCATCTTGAAGAGCAGGAGAGGGTTCAAAGTGCCAGAAGCAGACAAAAATCCTGAATTGCCTCGATATGAACAGCATGAAATCTGAGATTAATACAGAAACTGAATAGACTAGATTGAAGAGTGGCATTATATGATGAGTATATATCTTATTTAGTTAGTGTGTGCATATATACATCTTATGTAGCCAGTCTATGGACGTGGTCGGACCCAGAGGGTGGTGGTTGATGGAAGTCAATCGTCATGGTGCCCTGTGACCAGTGGGGTCCCCCAAGGCTCTGTCCTTGGACCTATTTTGTTCAACGTCTTCATTAACGATGTGGACATTGGTATCAGAAGAGGACTGGCCAAGTTCGTTGATGATACCAAACTCTGGGGTAAAGCATCCACACCTGAGGATGGGAGGGCGATCCAGGCTGATCTTGACAGGCTCAGGAAATGGGTGGACGAGAACCTGATGGTGTTTAACACTGAAAACTGCAAGTTTCACCACCTTGGGAGGAAAAACCTGCAGCATGCTTACAGGCTCGGCAGTGCACTACAGATGAAAGGGACTTGGGGGTCAGGATTGACCGCAAGATGAACATGAGCCTTCAATGTGATGCTGCAGCTAGTAAAGTGAGCAAAACACTGGCTTGCATCCATAGATGCTTCTCAAGCAAATCCAGGGACATCATTCTCCCGTTGTACTCAGCCTTGGCGAGGCTGCAGCTGGAGTCCTGCGTCCAGTTTTGGGCTCCACAATTCAAAAAGGATGTGGAGAAGCTTAAGAGAGTGCAGAGGAGAGACGTGCACATGATCAGAGGTCAGGAAAACAGACCTTATGAAGAGAGGCTGAGAGCCATGGGACTCTTCAGCCTGGAAAAGCACAGGCTCAGGGGAGAACTGATAGCCACCTGTAAGTTATCAGGGGTGCTCACTAGGATCTGGGGGAACGTCTATTCACCAGAGCACCCCAAGGGATGACCAGATCAAATGGCTATAAACTCCTCCAAGACTGTTTCAGGCTGGACACAAGCAAGAACTTCTTTACTGTCCAAGCCCTCAAGGTCTGGAATAGACTGCCGCCAGAGGTGGTTCAAGCGCCTACATTGAACACCTTCAAGAAAAATTTGGATGTTTATTTTGTTGGGATCCTATGACCCCAGCTTACTTCCTGCCCCGGGGGCAGGGTGCTAGACTGGTCCCTTCCAGCCCAAATGTCTATGAAATCTATAGAGATAGATACTACAATGCCTTTTGGAAGTAAAAATCTCCCTGACTCTTCACTTCTTGTCCGGTACTGAAATATTCTACAAATCCAGAAACTAGAGGTACTGGGCCAAATCTGTCCCTGGTATTAGTCTGCTAAAATCTATTAAGCACATTTCATTTACATGTTTTCCTAAACCATTTGCAAGACGGTAAGTAAAAGAGTACATAAGTATGAGCATTAACCTTGGCAGAAACAAGTGCAAGCTGATTATCCTTCTCCCTGTTTTCCTTCTTTAATTTATCTGCATCCAGTCTCAGTTGCAGTATTTTCTGCTGCTTTACAGAAATGTCTTTTTGCAAACTAGTCACCAGGCCTGTGAAGAACAGAATTTAGGTCAAAGAACGCTACAGCACCTTGGTTATGAAAACCCTTTAAACATTGAAGGAGAAAATATGATTCACTGTATTTTAAAAATATCTGACTTAGAAAACATATTCAGATTTAGAGTATAAATTCTGGGAGTGATGCAGTGTGGCTATTTTTCTCAGGGAATGCAGTGCTTTGGAGCATGCACCATAGTCAATAAGAATAACTCTCTTACAGCTCAGTTTTTCTTGAAAAATGATGCTTTGTTTTGAACCGTAGGACACTTGTCCCTGAGGACCTGTGTCAGTAAATATTAAATATCCTGTTTACTTCTGGAAAACTAAGATGAAATGAAATGTTTCTGCTAACAGGAGCATATTGCGAAATGCTGTTTAAAGAAAAACACCAAATAATTTGTGCAAACAGCCAAGCCCTTTTGATTGTTAAGTCACTGTATAAACACAGGCTGGAAAATGGCTTATAGTCTTTAAAATCGGAACCTGCTATAGATATCCAAAGCTTTGGACACTGACCTTCAGCAGCTGTACAAAAATAACAACAAGGCCATTAGCCTTCTCCCAGTTTAATTTTTTTTTTAATTTATCTGCATCCAATTATACTTGCAATTTTTTGCCCCTTTACAGCTCCCCCATCAAGTTCCACTAAACTCAATGGAGATAAAACTGATTTAGGCGAGTTGGCAGTCCGCTTTTTGGTGACCAAATAATTTATTTCAAAAGAAAAAAAAAGAATGATAAAAAAACTACCTGCCCCAACCAACACTACAGTTTAGGTCCTGTTGTTCCTTATTTCTACTCTACTATTTCACAGGTCAGAAAGGATTAGTAAGCCTTCAAGAAACACAAAAAGTACAAATAATTTGATAAGATCCAGATAGCCACTGAGAATCACTTCTCGCAGGAAAAGTTTGCAAGTATTGGATTTAAAAAAAAAAATACTGCCCTTATAAATTATATTTTGACCCTTGTTCTAAATGTTACTCTCCTGAAATGTCAGAGAAAATGTACCTGTGGTCAGAGTTTGGTCCTTCCTTAATTTCTCACCCTCTTTTTTCAAGTTCGCAATTTCTCGATCTTTTTCCAAGAGAGAATGGCACAAGACTTGGCTGGAGCCTTTCTGAAGATTGCTTATCTACAAAATACGTCCAAATGAATTACTGGTCACCTTAAACAGGAAACGGCTGAACCAGCTTAAGACTTACAAACCTACCTCTGTATTAAATTTGAACCAAACTTTTTTTTCCTGAGAGAGTCGAAACAGGACGACGAGCTTTTTGTTTGGCTTTTTCATGTATGCTCACATCTACTCTGCCCAGTTTGGATGGACCCAAAAGGAGAAGGGATGCATTAACATGAGACAAAACGTTCTTGCTACATTTCCAGATTGATGGGAGAAAGCAAGTATCAGAGTCTTCACTTGAGAAATTGCTCTCCCAAGATCTCCAGCCCAATTCTTCAGGCCTGAGAGGGTTATAGTTTATATACATATATAAAAGCCTAACCGCTTATACACGTGCGCACACACACACGCATATATATATATACACACACAGAGCTTATGACAGTTTATATACACATATAAAAAAGCCTGACAACTTATCCAAACTAAATTAAACTTCCAAACTGTTCACATCGAAAATCTAATGTAAAAAACAGACCCAATCCATAATCCAGATAGGGAATGTATGGCTTGTATACTGGTGGAAAATTCTAACAAAGTAACCTTCAGAAATATGTGGAGTTTAAAAGCTGTTAATATGTGCAGCTTTTATATAGAAAAACAGCTAAAAATGCTAAAAAAAAAAGGAAAATGTTTTATTACAAATAAAGATCAAGCACATTACTTAGCTATGTAGTTCTCCCTATCATGGTCTTAGAGACCATCAAAGAAAGGAAATATACATTTCCCACTGCTGAGATAACTGGCTTTTTGAGCCTAATTCAAAGGGGATTATTAGAAAGTTGGAAGGAGGGAATTCACTGGTTTAGTAGCATTTGTGAGAAGGACAGCTGTATCCGCAAACATGTCCTTGCAACAGAAAAGAGAACCCAGCCACGGACAGCTTATGGAAAACAATCGCTGATAGATGACACAAATACAATCCTACTTTGTATCCAGTTTTTAAAGTATTGCTCTTCCCTTGTTCTTTGCATATTTGCATATTTTAAAAGAGATGCTGTATATTTAAAAGCCAGTCTATAAAAGTGTATTAAAAAGTAATCTCAGATAATACACATGCCTCAGCCATCACACCAATTTGCATGGCTTCGCAGTGATATTCTACAGAATCATAGAAATGAGGCTGGACGGGACCTCAGGAGGTCACATCTAGGCCAGCCCCCTGCTCAAAGCAGGACCAGCCTCACCTAGGTCATCCCAGCCAAGGCTTTGCATAGCCGGGTCTTGAAAGCCTCCAAGGATGGAGACTCCACCACCTCTCTAGGTAACCTTCAAGTGCTTTACTACCCTCCGAGGGAGCGAGCCTTTCATAATATCCAACCTCAACTTCCCTTGCTGCAGCTTGAGCCCATTGCTCCTTGTCCTGTCATCTGCCCCCACTGAGAACAGTCCGGCTCCATCCTCTTTGGATCCACCCTGCAGGTATTTGATATCCCACCTCGGTCTTCTCTTATGCAGACTAAATCATCCCATTTCCCTCAGCCCCTCCTCACCAGTCATGTGTCCCAGCCCCCAAACTGTTTTTGCTGCCCTCCACTTGACTCTCTCCACTGTGTCCACATCCTTTCTGTAGTGGTGGGGTGGCCAAAACTGGACACAATACTCCAGATGTGGCCTCATCAGCGCCAAATAGAGGAGAAGAGTCACTTCCCTCGATCTGCTGGCCATGCTCCTACTAATGCAGCCCAGTATGCCATTAGCCTTCTTCACACCCAGGGTGCACTGTTGGTTCATATTCACCTTATTGTCCACTGTAACCCCCAGTTTTCCCATTTTAAAAAGTGTCTTCTCTATCCTGCATTCACATAAAAGACCTACACAAATAACTGGGGGAGCTAACCATCTCCTTGTACAACAGAAACAACAGAAGTATTTATTCCCAGAGGGGTGTCCATACACAAAGTAAGCAAACCGAAAGAAAAAAAATATATTCTTTGCTCTAATCTTTTGCAGGTCCAGCAGTAAGATGCTTCTTGCACCCGTGAACGAATATTTCTCATTGCTAAAGCAAACAGCAGAACTTCAGAGAGAAGTTTGAATCTTAAAGCAAACAGACATCCCTTGAAGTGTTTAATACCTGCTCTTTCAAGGCTTTAATCTCTTCTGTTTTTGCTCCAATATCTTGCTCAAAGCTGAGTAGTTTCTGAGTAAACTCAACATCATTCCTAGCAGCCTCCTGAGCCATCTTCTTTGTCATCACTGCAATTTCATCCTGAAGATTTGCTATCACTGTATCTTTATGTTTGGACTCGCTTTCAAGACCCACAAGACGACTGATTTCATTTTCCAGTTTTAGAATTGCTTCATCCTGAGGGCAGATTAAATTAGGACTATTACATGCAGCTGACGATGCAATGCAGGACACGTTCCAAAAAAGGTTTTGAATTATTTTCACTAGAATTTACTGTAAATGTTCTGTCTACAAAATACTATGGCTGCACTTTCTAGT